GGGGAATTACAGTTATGGAAACTGCTCTACTGAAAACTGCAGCAGTGGAAACCGCAGCAGCAGAAACTGCAGCAGCGAAAACTGCAGCAGTGGAAACTGGAGCAGTGGAAACCGCAGCAGTAGAAACTGCAGCAGTGGTAACTGCAGCAGTGGAAACTGCAGCAGTGGACACTGCAACAGTGGAAACCGCAACAGTGGACGCTGCAGCTGTGAAAACTGCAGGAGTGGAAACTGCGGTAGCAGCAGATGAGCAAGCAGTGGCAGGAACAGGACGAGAGTGTTGTGGGGGCAAAGAAGAAATTGGATGATACAAGGACCATCGCAGCATGCGTCGGAACCACTGAGAGAGACGCGTCACATGCGTAGGATAGCGACGTTGGCGGGAGCGCATGTAGCAGGTCCACTCCTTAGCAAGGGTTGGCGGGGAATGCCCACGCGAAAGCATGCGACGAGTAAGTGTTGTTGCGGCAGTTCGAAAGTCCTGCCCAAGTGTTACAGATTTGTTGAAATGTGGTCAATTGCCCAGTGAACACACCAGCCGGTGATGGGAAGGGATGTTGGAGGTCGCATTTGGATAACGAATGACAGGGAAGTCCCAAGCAGCCACGATGCAAACCTAAAAAGGTACAGGAGTCATCTGTCGCTGTAGTCTCCTTCCACTCAAGCCCATAGTGCTTTGGTGGAGGAGGTAATTGTCCCCATGAAAGAACATCATCAATGAGGTGATAGGTGAAGGCATATTGCTGAGCGGCTTGAAGATCATGCTGACGAATGTCATCAACAAAGTGTGCTTCATCCCAATACAGCGTCAGATTAGAAATTTCTGGGCCAGCATTCGTTCCCATTGGAATACCGATAATTTGTTTGCGAAGCGTGCCATCTCTAGTGTACAGAAAAGTGCTTTGTACAACAAAGCGAAGATGTTGGAGAATCTGAGAAACGGAAAGGGTATCCGGGCCTGAATCAGTCGTCCATTGGCCACAACGAGGTCCTTGAATAACCAGGTTGAGGGCAACGCAGCGTGAATGTGTGCGAGCATGTCGAAGGGCATAAGCATGAGCTTCATCAACAGCCTTTGCCACATTATTCAAAATGCGGTCATGAGGAAGGTCGGTGTACATTGTGGTAAAATCAACAGTTCGAGGAGAGAGGCCACGAAGAGACGATGCATTGTTTTTCAGGTCAATCGCCACTTCATCAGGACTCTGAACGGTCCAGCACCGTCAAACACCAACCTGCTCTGTATCGCGATACTCTAAATCGCGGCACGATTCAGCTATGCCTAGATACATGTGCAGGGGGTCCGACAATTTAAGAACGCCGGACCCTCAAAAGCTACAAATTTTGACCTGAATCATGCCGCGATTTAGCCGGTTTCAATTTCGTTCAAAAACTAAAAAATTCTCCGTTTTGATGAGATTGTTGTTTTATGTGCATTTTTCTGTTTCTGTTGCCGTTGATTCAGGAAGACAAAGCGATGGCCAATTTTGTCAGTGTGTTCCGATCCAAGTGCTCCTCTTGCATTCTGGCCCATGCGACGATGTGCATGCTTTGCGACGGAAGCAGGCGATCAACGCTCCAAGTCCCTTCCGTTGAGAAGCTGATGCCGCCACAGACAGGTACCAGCTGGTCTATCATCCAACCTGCGGAAGTCTTTAATTGAACTTCTCACCAATTCTGGCTTTTTTTTTTCACGCCAGATGAGTCCTGGATGGACTATCAAACTTTTTGAAATCTTTCATTGTGATTCACCTCTTTCATTCTGCCTGAAGACATGCAACTGTACCGCTGAAACGTAGATTTTTATCATTGCAATCTCTGGGCCTTGTTCTATATAAGTAATAAGCTGACAGCTTTCGGAGATAGTCCCTTGATAAATAGTAAATACAAATTTAACCCCCTTTAAACCCCTTTTTAGCCCCTGTAAATCTAATTTATACCCCCCTTCACCTCTCGATGGAAGCAGATGAAACGTACTGCTGTGAAGACGGAGAATTAATAAGACAGAAGAATAACAAGCACAACAACCATGATGATGGCGATGAAGAAGAAGAAGAAAGAAGAAGAAGAACAAGAAGGAAGAAGCTTATTAGCAGGAATGGGGACCACAACCACAGCCACTGTCTAGCAATGACAATGAAAAGCAACGAACTTTGTCTGTCTATACTTGCCCGTGATAAGCAACCGGACTGCTGCCCCCCAGAATAAAAGGGGCTTGTGTTGAAAAAAAAAAAAAGAAAAAAAAAAAGAAAAGTAACACAACTCCCTGTTGCAGCTCCTCCCTTGTCAGGTGACTAGTCCCACAAGTGTAAGGCTGTTCCCCTTTCTCGTCTGATGTCCCCCCTTCTCTGGATGTACAAACATGCTTGCCGGTGATAAGCAACCGGACTGCTGGCCCCCGGAACAGAAAAGGCAATTGTGTTAAAAAAAAAAAAAAAAAAAGCAACACGACCTCCACAATGCTGATGATGACAACGATGGCTGATGATGATTATGGCACAATCATGAGAACAATGATGAGTACAAGTTACATCAACAACAACAACTACCATCATCTTAACCATAACGACTAGAGAAAGATGTCGACGATGAAGACATCGAAGACACAGACGACAAAGAAGAAGAAGATGATCGTTGGAGAAGAAAGAGAAAAATGAAGACAACGAAGACACCGACGACAAAGAAGAAGAAGATGATGGTTGGAGAAGAAAAAGAAGAAGAAGAATGTGAAGAATGTGAAGAAGAAGAAAACTATAACCGAATTCTTTTTTATCTGGCATGAGTTTTGATCCACGAGCATCTAAAG